GAAGAAATGCCCGATTATGGGGCGGACGACGAGGTCGAGATCATCGATGATGATGAGGAGGATCAGCCCTCTGCGGGTGAAAAACGCAAGCCGGAAGGCTTGCCGGAATCTTCATCAGTTGGAGCGGCAGCGAAAGTCGCCACGAAGAAGATGCCCAAGCCTCCGGGGGGCGAGCAGAGGCGCAAAGTGCAAAGGATCGTGAAATATGACGACACCCATGAGAAGGACATCCCATTGCACTTGCAGCCAGGCGTCCAATCATACATCGGACCAGAGCACATGTTGAAAGTGCCTGTGCGACCAATGGACGACCGGCTGACTGAGATTTCTCACAGCCTCTCGAATCACCTGCGAGGTGTGCAAGAGCAGAGGAGGAAGCCCACTACCGCCTTCAATGACGACGGGTCCAAAGACTGGAAGGGCTTGATGAGGCATCTCAAAGACGAGATTGCCAACCTCCAAGAGTTTGAGGTACTCCTCTGCATTCGGAACAACGACGACCGGCGATTCAAACTTCGAGTCTGTTTGCCGGGAGGGGTCGAGGGAGCTACCTGGAAAGGTATGCCGTGGGAACCAACAGCAGTGAAAGCTGTTCAGGGCCACAAAGATTGGGTCATTGAACGCATCGGGAACCGAGCCATTTGTCAGGAGATCTATACGTTGGACGACGAGTTCGACGTGGACAAGCTCGACCGAGGCTATCACCCAAGGTTCAACTGTGACCCTGAGACGTCCCACAGTTATACCACGTTCCCAAGGGTGGTCTACCATTCGACTGATTTTCGCGGCTGCAGCGATATCATTAAGAATGGCCTCGTGGTTGGCGGCTTCCCCCGAAAAACGGGGAGAGGACACAATTATTTCACGGTCACTCCGCCATGGGTCGCGAATATGCGCAAGCTCGCGGGAACGCGAGCCGGTCAACCCATTTACCTGGCATTTGACACCGAGCTAATGCTTCAGGAGGGTGTGAGGCTCTTCCGCACCGATGCAGCTATCCTTTCTCCGGATTGGATTAGCAATAAACATCTGATGTTTGCGTGTAACGCACGGGATGCATCGTTCGCTTGGGCAAATCCAGCCTATCCGAAATTCCGGAGTGATTATCATTCCAGCCTCAAGGAATTTCAGGATGCCGATCCGAATCACCCTGCAGCACCGGCCCAGTATCAGCTCTCCCGACTCGGGATGATGAAAAATTTTATGTTGGTCGACAACTGGGCGGACGTCAAGTCCAAGATCGTCAAGGGTGCAGTGAACATCGTTCGACCACCCCGTGAGCTCGAAGGGGTCATCGATGAACTTGCCCAAACCGACGCTCGCCGGAAGGCGCAGCCGGGAACTGAGGCTGAGTCTTGCGAGTTGAAGGGCTACATGCTCGCCCCATGTGCGATTGTCCAGAACTCTGACATCGCGGGGCTGAGGAGCGCGCACCACAACCGGAATCGTCCGTGGGCGCGTGGGCAAGACAACTATGATCTCGAGCCCAAGGATGTTGCCATCAACGTGATCCTTCGGATCCCTGTGGAGAAGTGTCGCACTCCGCTCTGCGGAAATGAGAATTGGCAGGGAGGGATCAAGTGCGACTACTGCAAAGCCCACCTGACGGTGTGGCCGGACGCCAGGATTGCCACAGAAGCGGCCAGGGCACAGGCTGAGGCAGATCTTCAGAACACCACTTGTGTGATCGAAGACCTCATCAAGCGGATCCCGAGGAAAGCAAGACAAACCAAATCCGCAGCTGAAGCCGGCGACACTGAACGCCGCGGTGCCCGATCTGCCTTCGGAGTCCTTCGTGACAACGCGAAAGCCCACATTCGTCAAGCCAAGAAACGTGGTGCCGCAACCCTTCGTGAGAGGCTGGAAACCGACCCATTTTATGCGGTAAATTGTGCAAGGGCGAATCTCACGCCCGATGCACTCGATTTCCTGCAGCGGCTCGGACGAAGCATGAATCCGAAGCTTGGAAGAACAGCCGAGCAGAGGAAAGGCAAGAAGGGAAAGGGCACTGGAAAGGATGACCAGGCTGCGGATGAGCAAGCTCGTGCAACCCGTCTCTGCTTCATTTTGAAGCTTGACCGGGGTGACGACGATCCTGTCGATTTGGCTGATGAGGCGTTCGTGGCACACAAATGCCGGTTCTTGACCTTGGCGCAGTTTGCCACGTACGTCGACTTTGCAATCTTGCAGAAGAATCAGCCTCCGCCCGTGATCATCGGCTGGAACGATAAGCAATGCCAGCCGGAAGGCTCGGCCGAGAACATCCTCAAAGATCTTGTGTCCTTCGCCCGATTGAACTGGCCCGACGCTGCAAATGAATTTGGGCACAGCTTGAAGGTGATCGAGGGAAGGTCAGCGCGGTGTCTCGCAAGTCGACGGCGAACCAGAATCTTCGATCTGGATTCTTTCCCGTTGACCAGGCCAAGCATAAAGCCAAGAAGGGCAAAGGCAAAGGAAAAGCTCCAGCCTCCGGCTGCTTCGTGTGCGGGGGGCCACACTACAAGATTGACTGCCCTACCTATCACGAGCAGCGCCTCCAGCAGCGGACCCAATCCCGCAAGGGGAAGGGCAAGGGCAAGTCTGATCGCCCGCGCCCATGGGCGCCAGCCGCACACCAGTGGCGAGTGGTGCCGAAGCCCTCGGAGGGAAAGGGCGCAGCCGGAAGCTCTTCTGATGCCGTGGTCGGGCCGCCGGAGCGCACCATTGCCCAGGACATTGCAATGAAGGGCGCAGCCAAGGCCAAAGGCAAGGGCAAGAGCGACATTCAGCCGAAGGGCAAGGGCAAGTATGAGCCGCAGAAAGGGCAGTATAAGTCCGAGCCATACAAGGGGCAAGGCAAAGAGAAGGGCAAGGAGAAGGGTAAGGGTAAGCCTGCCCAGGAGCGGGTTTACTACGGCGACCGAGAATGGTCCGGATCTTAGAGCTTTTCGTGGAAATGGACTGCCTCCCGGGGATGGTACTGGGAGTGGGACCCATAGATCCTTATCGGCCATCAGAGTGTGTATCTTCCATGCTAGCGGGAACGTTAGCCGGAACGCTTTCTTTCTCATTCTAGTATGTGAAGTATTGGAGTTTCAAGCTCGCTACGCTAACGGGAACGTTAGCCGTCTTTCATCTTTTGGGCTAACTGTTTCAACAGCGTTGCGAACCGGAAGGTTTGCCGTGTCCATTTTGGCTGGCATGCCTAGTGCAATCATTTTGTCTATAATAATTCACGGTGCAAGTCACCTATGGCATCTTGATTGGAGTGGTATTGCTCCCGTGATGCTAGGTGGAAACCTAAGCCGTGCATTTTGTTTTGCAGCTTCCCGCTACGAGCGCAAAAGGAGCCGAACCTCTCTTGCAACTTTCTCCATTACAACAACGCATTCGTAGGTCATGCATATTGTACATAGCATTGCAGCCTGTCCCAAGGTCTATGATGGCTGCACTTCTGCCTCTTCGGTGCTGCCAGTGACCTGGCGGCGCCGCGGGGGGTTTTTTCACCGCTTGTACATAGTCATGTCTACTTCACGCGTTACATTTGGCTCAAGAAAAAGGTGTACTTAGTTGGCTGTTTCCTATTTGAAATACACATGTTCCACTGGAGATCTGTGCTGCGCGCCATGCCTGGAAGGCCACGAATGCGGCTTTGGTTTCCCAGCTGTTTGTGGTGACAGCACGCTTGAGGCTGCATCAACGCATACACTGGCGGACACGTGCTTTGGGCGATTCCGTTCGCCCGTGGGGCACAGACCTCGATTGCATTTCCTACTGTCTTAGGGCATTGGTGTTTTCTATATACTTTTCTTCTTCGATCCTGGAGTGCTCGTCCTTCTTTGCTAATCCCTTGCCCCTTACTAAAAGACAAATCTATCCATCTTCTGGACCTGGAAAGATTGAAATGTGGGAAGAGCTTCAAGACCGAAAAGTCACGTCTAATTAAAAAGACTTTACTAAACGCGTAACTAAAATTGAAAGAAAACACAATTCCAGATCGAAGGATCGCTCCTTTTTCCTTTGCAAACAAAAACCTCTATTAATAAAATTGTGATTGTTCATTAGACTGACAACTAAATAAGGCGGTAGAGTTAGAGTAATTAAACGCATATAAACCCTATTGATGGGTTTTCCGACATGCATTTTTCTCAACTGGGCAGTGGTTTTAAAGGGTACTCGGGAAAACGCTTGCATGAGTTGGGCAAACGACGCTGGCATTGCTTTGTTTGTACGCCACAGGGCAACCAAAAACGCACATGTGAGACGACTTTCTGCCCTCATAAACATTGTTTTTTTACAAAGTTAACCAACTTAGCGGCTTAGCGCGTACATAACGCTACATAGCTGCCACATAGCACTCCCTTAAACGTTTGAACAAGTATGCCTTAATGTTTGACAACTATATGTTATCTAAGATCTATGAAAGAGGCGGTTTCGGACCTACTAGAATTACAGTAGATGTCTTAATCTTTCTTTCATGGTTGCATCATATGCATCAGCTAGTTGCAAATGTATATTTTTTGGCGGCATATGAGTCAGCTGGTTGCAATTGCAAAAGGCCTGCAAATTAGTGTAGTTTGGACACCCTGAAACATCTACAATTTCAAGGGGTGCAAAAAGATCTCCAACAATGCTTGCAAATTGTAAGAAATGCATAATATAACTAAACAAAGTGTAAGAGGGTCCGGTCCAACAATAGAGTGATTATGGAGGTTTTTTTACACTGTCTCTGTGAGGCACTGGTGCGGGGCGGTTGGTGAAGCGACCCAAATTAATGGGATACCCTTCAGGCAACGACCCCCTGGAAGGTTTGGAAAGTAGACCAAACCCATTGGTTGGGAATCTTCCTACCCCAAGAATCCTTGGGCCCTCCATGACAGGGGTTGGACCCTCCATAGCAGGGGCCGGTTTTTTAGTTTAATAAGGTTCCAACTTTGCCCCATCGACCTGAGGTCAGTCACTCCAATGTCCCGACTCTCACGGGAGAGCTCACGCGCTGAGGATGGTGTGGCTCTTAGATGCATTTTGTTCTGGTCACCATGGACCCCATAGGAGTCCATGGGCTCAAGTTTATATGGTTTTCTGGTTTGGTAGGTGTTTTGGTTTGATTTGGTTTGGTTTGGTTATGTTTGTTGTTTTTGTTTGTTTCTTTGTGGGTTCGAGGGTGCCCAAAGTTGGGATTCAAGAGTTCTGAGAGGGGTTATGCTTCAAGGACTTACAGATCACATATGCACGGGATGGGCACATAAAGCATACCACATGTTTCTATGAGTGTCTCAGAACGAATAAACCCTTCCAAAGAACACTAGTATAGGAAGACTAGAACAAAAACATAATGAAGACCAGTTGACCTCATGTTTACACACTCCCAGACTACACAACGGTTACGTTTTTTGTTTAATATGCCAAGGAGGGAAGTATGTGCTGTCACTCGGGAGACCTGAGCCCAGCACAGAGAGAAGCGCTGTCAGGCATGGACATTGACATAGAAGTACGCAGTGTATATATATATATTATACAATACTATATGTATTGGTTGTGTATTGTATTGTAGGAGATCTCCCACCACTGGCTTTTGGATGATGGTCTATCTTCTGAACCTTCCAGGGAGTTCGGAACGCCTGAGAGGTCTCGCGAATTTTGAATACACACCCCCAACTATATTTTAATACAACATCGGAAGCAACCGTTGTACCCGTGCTAGTTCTTCCCGCTATTCTTGTTTTTCACGGAGACCAACAACGGATTTATCTACTATTATTTGCGATCAGGTGAGGTGCTCCGCCGTACCATGCCCTTGGCGACCTTCCGCCGGGGCGACTGGCGGGAGGAGGACAGCGGGAACCCTTACTGCGGTGCGGGTTGCAAAAGAAAACGTCACTTTCAGAACCCATCGAGGATTGTCATGTTGGTTTGAGACTGTGGCGATTGCATTGTGGGTCAACATATTGTAGAGACTGAAATACATATACATATATATACATATCTATGTGTGCTGCGCGTTCTTGCTCGCTAAAATGGCGCAATAGCTACAGAATGTCACAGAACAGAAAACAAATTACATAATGGTTCAATGAAGACTGTGGACATTCCAGTAGTCACAAAGGGGTGCGATCCATGGTTAGGGGTGCCCATTATCCACTCACTTAGTGACTAAACACCACCCCTTGGTGACCCGTGGATTCCAAGGATGAATATGGTTGGGATTTCAGACCACAACGAGTTCGACTCTGGTGCTGCAGGAAGCTGGCAGCCAATGCAGAAGTCAAGGTGCACGACATTGGTTGATGACATTGGCACGCAGCTGAAGCGGTAGTCGAATCAGCCATAGCTTTGATATTGCTTCCAAATACCCTACAGGTCAATTATGATCTCACTTTACTGGAGTTTGGTCATACACCCCAGCACCACTCAAGGAGGTCAGACCAGGTTTGGAGCGACAGCTCAGACTGGACCTCTAGGGGTTGGTTCCAAGATGGTCTTGCCGGTGAAGCGGCTTCGACCCCGATCTTTGGTCGCTCTTCTAATACTGCTTTGAGGGGGAACTAGTCACTGACCCGCAACCTTTTTGACTTTTGAGCAACAAAAGTGGCATCATGTTTTGGATTGTCTTTGGATACTTCGGCCTCCAGAGCAGGGGAGATCACTCAGCTCTTGGACAGCGTTTGCCACACTTGGAGGTCTCCTCTGAAGTGTCCTCCACTGCCAGGTCGAGCTGATGGCAGTATGTCGCGCAGCAGTCTGGTGCCGGGCGATCCAAGTGATCTCAGAGATTTCTCGGTGTGTTCGGGACTGGAGTGGTGATAATATGATACCCTGTCTCAGAGCGATGCATGAAAGGTTTCAAAGTCCTAGAGAGACTTGCTTAGGGAAGGTAGGAAAGGTCTATGTAGGAATACCAGATGACCGATGCATGTAAACAGTATACATACAAACACGATATGTGGACAGTGAACACAGCATGATGCAGAAGGATGTGGAAGGCACTGTGTGCGTGTGCGCGTGCGTGCGTGCGTGTCGGAAGAATGTACCGTGACAACTCTTTTTTACCTGGCCTACACTTCTCAGGTCTTCATGGCCACAACCCTTGGAAGCGCTAGGAAGAGACACTGTAGCAGTATGTCGCAGTGTTGAAGTATCCACAGACTGCTCCACTCCCTTCATCGGGGCTCAAGGTCAGAAGACAGCATGAGCAGCAGGAGGGGGGTTGGAAGAATGAGATCTGAGAGATGGTCATGGACCATGATAGGTGTGGGGAGTGTGGGGCTCGGTTGCCATTCTGGATGGGGTTGGAGGTGTAATTAATCCTGCTTGCCTTCAAAAGACAGTTACAGAATGTTACCGAGAGTTCACCATGAAATTGCAATGCAAAGACCCTCCTTGGGCTGAAAGGGACTACAATGTGACAGCAGGCTGCGATCGTCCTTCTTTCAGTCAGAGTGACCCGCAGGTTTGGCTATACACCTGTGCTTTTGTTTGACCTTTCTTAATTTGTATAATCTCTATTCCATGAACTTTGATGCTTTGTTTTGAGGGAAAAACGAGCCTTAAGACATCCATACTAGAGCCAACGATGGTTGAGGCAATGATTATTTTTTGGGCCGAAACGTTACCACCATGGTTCGCCGAATGTGTCGCAAACCACCATCCAGCTGGATTGATCACATGGGCGAAGGAACAAGGAGGTTCCAGCGGAGAGTCCTTCCACTGGCGGTCGACACTGCAGACCCCTGTGACGACCCAGGGCGTCTTTTGGTGCGGCTTGTCCAGCTCGTACTCCTTGACTTCGGTGTTGAACATGATCCCTTTATTGCAGGCGGACCCTTCGTATGTTCAGCTGACTCTCCCAGGCACCTACCAAAGAACAACCATCGATGAAGATTTGGAACTTGGAACGGATGAACTCCTCTTCCATCGCATCTTGAATCTTGTGGCATCCATTGCATCCCAAGGGATCCTAAGACGTTCAAACGAATCCCGATGTTTGGGGCTTTGCTTAGAATCAGAAGTGCAAGACATTTTGACTGTAGCAGCTATATATGTTGTTACATTCCAGTCTGTTACAGTACTTGATTTGACTTCAATCTTTAGAGCAACATAGAGCAACGCCCTACAATTGTTTGCATGCCCCATCTCTCCTTCCTCCAGCATCACAATTGAGGAGCCGGACAAGTCTGCAGAAATGGAGAAGAAAGCTCAGGCCACAGAGAAGGTCAAAGCGGTCCTCGACCTTCAAAGTGACCTCTTGTTTCAAAAAGTCACTTTGAATGTCCTGGAGGTCCAAGTTGATTAGTAGCTCCTGGCATTTCATTACTACGGACAACAAAAACACAACTTAATGAGACTTTCAGGACGGTCAGACTGGACCTGTAGAGGAAGATCAGGTGACCCTGTTTTGCTGTTTTCATGACTCTTCTGGAAGCACACTCCTTCAGAGCTCGGGCTTGGATGGATCCATCAACGTCAACGTCGCATCGGCGTCATGCAGCTCGGCGCCAGGCAAAGCAAGTCAGCTCGGAGCATGGACAGTCCCATGGCATCCATTGTGAACGGAGACGAGGAAGCGTTGGGGACGGTTGGATGTCAATCTGCCCACGCCACACACGTGGCATCGCCACCACACGAGGAAGCCAAGCGTACTTTCTGGCCTACTGATGACTACAATTTGGTACTTTCCCGGTCTCTTTGGCATGGCCCACTTCAACGGCCTCATCTCCAAATATTATGGTAATGGCAGCATGCTGCTTGGGCCTTCTCATTTGAGATCCTTGCTCATAGCTACTGAAATGCCAATGGTCCATGTTATTGTTCCATCGTCACTCTTGGATTTCTGTTGCAAACTGGCAAGAAATGGTCGCCTGTTATCGGACCAAGCTTGACCAAGCGAACGAAGCATCATCTGTCAAACTCCGGGCCTCTCACACGGTCCCACACCGTGCAACAACCAAAAAAAACAACATAAAACACATGGTTTTCACATGTGTTCACCATCTCAAAGCCTGATTTCAGTTGATTCAACACCTCGGTATGACGGTGAAAGACTGGTGAGTCCCTCAGGTTGTATGCTGAAGGTGCTGTCAGAGTCCCAGCCAGACTTTCAGGCCGGTTTCTCGGCCCGGTGTGCTTGCCCGGGTCGGTTTGATCTGTTCTGGGTTTCGACAGAAGAGGGTCCAGAATTTTCGCTATCAGACACGTGAAGAGAAGAGGCAATCTTGGTTTTGGAGCTCCATTTCGGAGCTGGATCTGTGAGAACATGGTAAAGGCTAAGTGCAAACCCATGTGGTACAGATACCTTCATAGATTTTGCAGACAGGATTTGCTGAAAGCTGTTCGAAGCTCATTACATACTGAAATCATGTCAAAGAGTATTGTTGCAGTATTTTGCGTATTCCGGTTTGTTTCTACCTGATTCCTATGGATCTCTTTCATCAACACTAGTGTAAAATGGATTGAGCTTTGGTCGGAGTCACACAGAGCTGGTACTGTGCAGTGGTTGATGAAGGTCTAGAGTGGGATTCCTCTACAATTCTGTCTAAACGTGTTTATGTATTTGGTCCCCTAGAATCTGTTCAATTAATCTATGAAGCACTGGACAGTTGAGGAGTGCAAATGCCTCTTATCGGGAAACGGAAAAACAACAAAACAATCGCCAAAGTGGAACTGAAAGCAAACAAAAGAAGCATGGTGGGGGAGATCCGCCCTCATGAACTCCATGCTATGGAACATGTGCCTATTGATTGACCCCGGGTCAACCACCTCCAGTTCGGCAGTCCGGAGTGTGGCCGGGCCATGCGAATCCGTCGCGTCAGTGGTTTTCGGTCGGTCCGGTCCGGTCTCCGTTGCTTGGAGGAACCCAGTCAGACCCGTAGGATGTAACTTACAAACATGAAAAGGGGGGGGCCAGTGAATCCTTGGGGCACTAAGTATTAAGTATGCCATAATATGCCTAATTATACAAGATGCTTGTCCTTGGCTCCACCGAAAGAATGAGGGCACCAAATCGGCTCAATGGAGAACAATGAGAACAAGACCTTTCGGCAAGGCATGTCCAATACTTCTTTAGTAGAATGAGAGTATGGCAGAAATCACTGGCAAGCCCTCAAAAATCATCAGAAATCCTATATATCCAGCAATGTCTCGAAGTGACATTGTTTCATATTTTAGAACGCGTTTGCAGTGCATTCGTAGGATCCCTGCATCAACGTTGTGGGTTTGCAATGGTGTGTGCGCGTGGGGGGCACCGTTTCTTTCCGCGAAAAATGCGACCGTCTTGCGACCGACAGGCGCAACGTGTCGTGGGCTACTCCATGGAACTGGGTGAAGATGATTATCAGGTGTTTGCTGAAGGCAGGGACCTCTGAGAACTTTCCATCCTGTCGGTCTTTCTCAGTTTTTGTCCTTCTGTCAGCCCAGATGGATTAGCACGGAGATTAGCACTTGTTCCTACAAACAACATTACGCACTATCTGATCTGAGCTCATCTTTCCTCAATTGAACTCATTGGTCAGTCTTGGAAGCCGTGTTCAATGTTCAACAGTGGTTTCAGAGGTTCGATGGCACAAACTCCAAGACGTCCTTTAGAAGAGGGTCCATAATTGAAAAAAAGACAAAACAAACCAACTTGGGGGCCATCGAACCGGGCCGCCATCAAACCGGGCCGCCATCACTGTATGTCTTAGACGCCCCCGGCGCCGCGCCTGGCAGGTCTACTCCATGGCAGTCTGTTTGGTGCCGCCTGGGGCGAGAGCGAGCTGCTCGCCACGCTGGCCACACGGCTTCGTCACGACGAGACGAGTCGTCGCGGCGTGAAAGGACCGTCTGAGCCGAATAAGACCGGACCATTTTTGGGGGAAATTCAATGGATCGAGCTATTGGGGATCACCTGGCAGATCGGGAAACTGGTGAACCTTTTCTCAGTGTGTGTGATCGTGAGGAAATACGAGGAACAGTCCTCCGGCCATGTTCGAACGTCAACTCGACGCTTCCCTTTGGGCGATCCATCAGGAAGATCATTCACACAACCGTAGTGTACGTAGGGTTCCAGTAGGGTTGGGTATTTCCCAGTTCGTAGAATTGTGTTTTGTTCTTTCCCGCTGGCTCTTTTTCCCGGAATTTACAGAATATTGATATAAAGGAGTTGCCATAACCAGCACCACGGAAAGAGTGTCCATTAATAGCCCCTTAGAGGTCAAGGGGTGTCCATCAACCACCCCTGTCCTGCTTTTTTTAAGTACCTCAGTACCTCCCGTCAAGATTGGCTCCTCCCGTCAAGGCTTCCTTCGCGCCCGCACCAGGCGTCCACCGTGGAGCTCTTCACCTTCAACGCGAACGAACCGGTCGGACGAAAGGAACCGTTGGACGTGGGACGATGGGAAGCGTTGGACGATGGGGAAAAGAACACAGGACTCGGACCGAGAACGGGGGCCCTTCTGGAGCGTCTTTTTGAGGGACTAAGTGGTCACTTAGTACCGACATTCTGGGATCTCATTCTCCCTATAGGGCTTCAACTACCTCCTGAGAAGGTGGTTGGGGTGGGTGCCAGGGGGGTCTAACCACCGAACCTTAGGATATGGGTCTATAGATCTATACAAGCACCCGACTCTACAGTATGGCTGAAATGGACACTTGTCGAAGTGGCGACCTGGCGACCTGGGGTCGAAGGTCTTGGTGGAAGTTGAGGATATGGCTTGGGGGAACCTGAGAGGCCCCACAGTGACCGTCCTTGAGATCCCCAAAATAAGGTCACAGTCCGTCCCTGAAGAGGTCACTTACAGACTCCAAAGAGGTCACGAACTGAAGGTCCTGGCAGATGATGTCTGACATGCTTGTCGCTGGTTCGGTCTCCTGTTCAACTGACATCAACAAAAACATTTGGCACTCCGCTGGTCTGCCGAGTTCCATCGTTGTCCGTCTGCCGATGTGGCACCCCTGTAGGAGGCACCTCTTTGTCACATCTTCGTGATCCGCGATGGACAGTTCTTCTTGGCACAGCGGACCAGTGAGCCCTTCAGCTGCAAGAGGCTGCGTCGACTCCAAGCGCATCCAAGCGCGCAAGCGCTTGCAGAGTTGGATGGACCGTCCGGTCGCTTCCATGTTTGGGTGAAGTTGTTGATGATGGACATGCTTGATAAACACCATATTTGTATCGGAATACATCGCAAGGTTCTACAACTTCCATGATGATTCCATGGATTATCATGGATTGGATACATTCAAATCATGCTGACCCCCCCCCATCACCGCAGAACTGCAGCACCGGACCGACCGGACCGGTGCAGACCCGTTCGGTCGACCCACGTTTTGGGCGCTGAAGAAGTGACGATGAAGACAGCGCAAAACGAACAGAGGTCACATACCACAGCTTACCAGCAGAGGTTGAAGAACCCTATAGGCTATCCTATAGGTACCCCAGTAGGGTCCTATAAGGTCACTTAACCTCTGTTGGTACTCCAGATACCATGATTCATGCGACAATCCTCTTCGCTCCACCAAATCTCCGGTCCATGTGTCCAAACCGCCCAGACGGGCGCCCATTTGCTTGGGCGTTGGTTGCGTCTTTGGCGAACTGGAGCTGTTTCAGCTCGCGGGAGACGAAATCAGCGCTGGCCCTGCTGGTGGGATGCCTGGCGGATAGTGGAGAGTAGGGAGAGACTGTTTGGACAGTGGCTGGAGTTGTGGCTGGAGTTGCGTCCGGGACGTCCCAGTGCTTACGGAAAGCCAATAATTGGAAGTTCGATCGAAGGGTTTGAACATGATGTTTCCTCTACTCGGTACCTTGGCTACCTGTTAGGGGAAGTCTAGGGGCGGGTATGTGGAGAAAGAGCCGATACGGGAAGATCGGCGCAACAAAGACCCCTCGTACGTTGGACGATCAAGGAAGATCGTTGCAGGTGTCTCCCGGCGTTTACTGTACCGGCACCGTCCAACAGGTTACCAAGTCACTAAGTGAGACCCGTTCAGGCTCAACAACCCTTTAGAGGAGACTTGTTGGAGAATACTGGTAGCGGAACCAGGGATTCACTCTTTGTCAGATGTCCTTGTTGTTTGACCCGTCATCACTCAGCAGAAGCTGAAGAGTTGAGGACATGCTTTGCCATCAGCAAAGAGTCTTTCTTAGATGCGCTGAAGAAGATGACGAGGAAGGCCTCCTCGGAGGTCTTTCAGCTTCTACTCGGCAGTGAGCTTTTCCGGTATTTGGATAGCTCTTACGTGGCGATGCTCAGCAAATGCAGCTATAGCATGAAGTATCAGGACAGGGGATGGGCATGGTTGTTGAAACAAGATGAATTTAGTGGGTCATTGTCCTACGTACCTGTATAGTCATCTAGTCTGACAGTCTGTGGTCATCCTTGAACCTCCTGTGTGGGATTTGTTTCCACTCTGGATATGAACAGCTCATGTGGACACAGGTTTACTTGGGTTTGTCCCATTTCCTGTAACGGTCGCGAAACACTTTTTAATATTAATATATCTATATAATATATACTTCTATCACTATTCTGGAGAAAGGCTTTTACTTACTACTTACCATATTTTACCATCATCAGCCACCGATACTGGTAATATGATATACCGATATACCCAAGGTTTACCTCATTTTGCATTGCATTGAAACGGAAGAGGTCGAGTGCCATTTGCAGGGTCAGTGAGTCATCGCTGTCAGGACAAGGCGTTGATCCGAAAGGATGGAATTGACCCAGACTTTGTGTACATTGTGAAGTCGGGCAACTTGATGCTTGTCCAAGTCCCAATTCTCTCGCAGATCATGTCGGGGCGACGCTTTGTTGTTTTTGGTTGGCCGAGATGGGGCGACTCTTTCCCTTTGACCGACGACCAGTAACACGTGCCACCAGTTTGTAGGAGAGATGAAACCCATGAGAAGTCCTGAGAAGTACGCTACACCCCAAGAATTTTGCCACTTGGATTTGTGCATCAAACGACTGGTTACTGGTTGGGTGTCAACTGGGTATATACATTCTGCAACTCGTAACCACACAGCCAGGACCTTCAAAGTGACCCTTTGATATCCCAGGATGAGGTCACTTAGTCCCTAAAGAGGTCACTTACAGACTCCAAAGAGGTCACTTTGAAGGTCCTGGAGGGGTATTCCAATAGTATGGATGGTGCAATGGTGCTGTATAATACGGTTAATCCCTGGTAGTCTCCCAGGAGATACAAGATACAATTGAGAACATTCCAGGAATCTCTTCCTTTGTATCCACCCAGAATGCGGTATATGATTTCACCCAAGCACTGTAAAACTTGAACCAAAACAGATTCAACACGTACCGTATCACTTTTTTTTCCTATCCCATAACTTCCAGCCATTTTGCCAGTCATGATTCTTCTGGATTTCCAGGGTATGTTTTCCTTCCAAAGGCTCATTGGACCCTTACGGCTAGGGTCCTGACCCTCACAACTAAGGTTTTGGACAAACAAAGGCTCATTGGACTAGGGTTTTGGACCTCAAACACCTAGCTGTCTAACCTCAAACACAAAGATCACAAAGCTGTTTGAGGGTCCAGGGTCGCCTTTGGGCCTTTGAGCAAGGATCGAAAGTGGACAACTCCTTTTGACTCCTGGCGATTGCGTTTGCCGACGACCTGGGGCTCCTCTACATGCGGAGGGCGAAGTGGAAGTCCTGGCTATACCGGTGACCTCGCTACAAAGCGTGCCACTGGGGCAAATAAAGACTGGGGAGACTTTTTCCCAGATTTGTTCAGTTGACTAGTGGGATTCAGAGGGATTCGCGAACTGATGTCATTGAACTGTATAGTGGTGAGTTAAAAGAAGACAAGGTGGGCCAGAATACTGCTGAGACCTCCTCATCCCTTGCCAACTCAGCCCAGTCATGCAAACCCAACACAGGAAAGGCGCAGACTGAGCCCCTTGAGCAGTTGTCCCAAAATCCTGTTCGATCCTTAAAACATCCAAGGCGCTTCAGGGGGTGGAATTTTCGATTCTGGGAGATCGAAATCCATCCATTCGCACATTGAAAAAAGCCACCTACCCTAAGAATTTGGGACAGGATTTGAGGGTCCAGACCCCTGCGAAGAGAGAGAAGGGTCGACCCCTCCCATGGAGGATTCAACGATTCGGGTATGACCACTTCCCATCTCCACCTCCCGATCGCACCCAAACGTGAAAAGGCGGACCCCCAAACGCTAGCCCGACCGGTCCTTCCGTAACCTATGGGGATTTGAGACCTGAGACCTCTCCAAAAAACCAGGCTCCTTGGTTGACCCCTGAACATGAACTGGATCGATCCGATCTTTGCGTCTTCACTTGGGGGGGGGTTCTCCATTCGTGTTCACCCTACACCAGATATCACCAGGTCCCGCTTCCTCTTCCCAGTTCCAAAGGAGTTGGTTTTTAGTCCCATCCAGTGAGTAGATCATGGGAACACCTGCCCTCCATGGTCCAAAGCTTTGACTGCAAAGCTATGGGCGCCCAAGAAAGATTCCGGCGCCGATGGCTGTCTAGGATGGGTTTCCGCGGACACGACTTCCTTTGGCGTTGCGAGCTGCTGCACATCTTGCGCAGCCGCTGGTCGCACCACTTGAGCTTCGGCCCATGGATGGCGCAGCGTGGGGATCCGGAAGCCTGGGCGTGGTGGCCTAAAGGGAGGACACATGGAAGACTGGGGTGACGGTGATTCCAGGGAACTTGCAGGTACCTTCCAAGCTTGGTGTACTATGTTGGATGAGTGCTTTACACTATGAAGCCCTAAATCTCAGTTTATACCTGGCAGTTCCGTAGAGTGAAGGTGGTATGTTTCATGGAGTGACTCCTTGAAGTCCGGATCTGGATGGCATTTTTGCGTGGTAATTTCACGTCTGGGGAAGACCCCGAAATCGTCTGGGCGGAATGGCTAGCCTGGACTCCGAAATCGCAACCGAACCGCAAAAGGTCGGAACGCCTGGGATGACGGGAGGATGACGGGAGTCGGTGAGTCGACCTCCTTTTTCCAAACCGACGTCAATTTCGTGCCGGGTTTAGGGGTTGCAGCAGTCCCTCACCAGTTGGTGGTGCAGTTTCAAGGTCATAGAGTATTGAAGGATCTTGAGCTCTCTTGATTCATGTACTAAGCTATATATATATTGTATATATGCAGTATGCTACTAGTCATGCTTGATGGATCATGTGGATTAGGGACATTGCATGACATTGGCAATGTCACTCTGTCGTTTGGATGCTGCAAAACGTATTACTTGGACAAGCACTCGCGGATCTGGGTGCTACCCACGTGATTCTGCGGTGAAACGCTTGACCATGGTTGACCCTCTCAGCATCCCACTTCTTTGTGACCATGGCCTTAGCCTTGCAGACGCTCCTAGACCCGAATCATCTTTCTTTAAGGGTTTGGGGGTCTCAAATCACAAATCCCATATACATATATATACATATATATATAGGTTTTGAGGGACCAAGGGTTGTGAATGGAGTGTTTGGGCAAGGCCATTAAAAACATGGTTGACCCTGAATTTTGGTAGTGTGAAATCCATAGTAAAACCATGTGGTGGTTCGGTAAATAATGTAAAACACAATTAAATCAATGGTGAGCGACCGGAAGCCTATAAATATAGGGATTATATCTCCACTATAGTCACTATAGTATGGAACACGCTGAAATTCCGTCCACCTACCCACTGAAACTCGTCATCCACAGTCATCAGACCGCTTCACCGTGTTGCGCTCCGCAACGCGGACGCGGTCGACGCGTCGACCGGTCCGTCGTTCCTCGTTCTACGAAGTCCCAGGCGCGCGCCTGTGTGATCCTGACCCTCCACGTGGAGGCCTGGAAGTTCAGTGTTGGCCAGTGTGGGACAGGTAAACGATCTGTTGAAGAGGGATAATGTTTAGCAGAAAAGAGAAGCCAATGAGAATGATCCAGCAGGTATTTGTGTGAGCTTGGCAGCAAATTCAGCCAACATCACCCAACCAAACCTTTTGGACTTCTAGTGTCCCTCTACATGGCCTAGAAACCTAGCCTACCCTGAAAATTGGATCACATTGCAAAAAGCGTTTTTGGGGGAAATTGGTTTGCCCACTCAACATGAGTTACGGTGGACGCTAGGGCATTGCTCACCAGAACAAAGCTATCAGAGAAATCCGGCTCTTGGCGCCAGCAGGAATTGAGAGATGTTGAGTTGGCGTTCGCGTGGGGCACTGGGGCACCTGAGGTGATGCAGGAGTTTCTCAGAAGCCACAGCTCATCCATCCGTTGGCTCATGCTGCTGGACGGTGCTCACAATGGTGCTCACATCAAGGCTCAAGAATTAAGAGCGATGGTCGTGCGTGTTGACATGTGTGTCGCACCCTTCACGAATCTGAGTGACCCCTAAAAAAACATCTGGAAACTGTTTTGGACAGCAGATACTGTATGTGTGCTGTGTCATGTGTCATTTTTGTATATCACTTAACAAGGGTAAGGTAAGTCTTCTTCGGGTCTTAGGACGGTCCATCACCGGATGTTTCGGGCAGGTGTCACGGATGTTTTGCATTGTGCAACATGGGATGGCCATGGTACTTACTATCCTCAAGCAGCGACTATGAGTACAGTAGATCAACGAACGTGTCTAAGATGACAATGTCATTGTTATTTGCAGATATCATATATTATATATATTATCATCGTTTCGATGGGTAAAACGTAGTATATTATATTGTACTCGTATATTGAGTTTGACAGAGTGCTTGCGTATGTTTTCTTTCCTGCACCGCATTGCTATGTTCACGTGGGAAATATGTTTGTTTCCAGATGCATGCAGCATGTTTATGCTTACTTAGACACACACACAATTCGATGTATGAAAACATAAATTCAGTAGTGTTGTTATTGTTGCTTTTGTTTGCATCATAAGGAAGTGCCGCTTAAACCATGAAGCAGAGGAAACCTCCGGAAAGACTTGTGGGCAACATGAGACAAGTTTGCAAACTCGCCTGAACTACTATTCCCAGACACTCCATGAGGCTGGCACCCACCTTTTTTTTTGTCGGGTCAATGAGGTCTCAGACAGACAGGTCGTCTCTGAGTGGTGGAAAGATTCGCCCCCGTTACGCTCGGCATGACCAGGCCTTTCTTGGGATACGACAGGAATTCCGTAGGTGTTCGGCACGGTTTTGGTTACCCAAACGCTAAAAACAGCTCGACCGGTCTCTCATAACCTGGGGTTTGGACCCTGAAGACGCGAGGATGCGCGTCCCCTACATAACATGGTCCATGAGCGTTTGGGGCCCATGTTCTATACAAGCACCTTCCAGCTCTCCGATCCAAAATGCTTGAAAGCAGACTTCAAAGGAGTCCTGGTAGTGACCTGGCAGTGAGGGTCCTGCCCTAACAGGGGTCCGGACCCGGAAACCCTTCACATTGGTTCGAGCCCGGATCATTTGAGGGCCCGGATGTTAGACCACCTAGGTACATTTCTAAGTGCACAAGGTACATGGCCTATATGGAAGACTTGTAACCAAACATAGCCCCACCTACAACCTGACTTAGCACAGTTTATATAGTAGTTAGTAACTTCACTATTTGAGGGTAAGACCCCAAGAATCATGAGTCCCATGGATGGTGACCTCGCTGGTTTGGATGTCCAACCCACTGAGGAGACCACCCAAAACGCACGAAACCAGTACCATCCGCAGATAACCACCGGGTCCACCACCGGGGTGGCACGACACCCACACCCACATGACCTCGGAAGCCTTAAGTAGCAAGAAGCTACTAGGTGGAGGCCATCGCTACTAGGAGCAAGGACCTGTGGTGTCCCACGCGCTACGAGGTGGGCGACCAGGTCCTCCACACCGACGCCGAGATCTGGAGCCCCGGCGTGCTTGCGGCCGCTTCGGTGGAAGGAAGCGCTGATGGGAAGCGAACGGCTGGTGGAGACCCCGGAGCACAGTACTGGTCGGATGGGGGTGGGAACCGGTATTGCTGCATTCACCAATGTCAAGCTTTGGTTCGTTTCTATCTTCCCAAGGTCAGTTCTAAGGGGTCCTGTCCTGTTGTGAATGACAAGGCTGTTTGCAAGTATGCTTAGTCTTGAGAGGCTCCTTATCAGGAATGGTATGTGGTGGTATGTGGATCGATTGTTTTGCCTCAACACCAGCCATGCACCATATAATCCACATGATGTGTATCCTTTCCTTGCTAATCATGTGGTCCAAAAACATCAAATTCACGTCATTCACCAACGTCATCTTGCTTCCCAAACGCACAGCACCAACCATGGGCTGGACGGCCAAAAGGTCACCATCGATTCGGGTCCACGAATAGGGACGTGCGCCTTGTGGGTGGGCTCAAATGAGAGAGATGGAGAGCTCCAAATGAGTTCTGACGAGTTGAGGCCCGTTTTTCAAGCAAGGAAGATCTGATTTCCAATGAGCTTCAATCTTTCTTTCAAGCAACGAAGATCTGATTGAACTTGGGTGATTTTTGGCCATATTTTCCACATGTCCACACGCCAGACACTCTTCAGTGTCGTGTCTCGTCTGTCACATGTCGTGTCTCGTGTCTCGTCGGCCCAGTCGCCAACCGAGATTGAGCCTCTCCCATCGAGCAACAGCGGCTTTGCCTTGGGCTCTTCCTCAAACACTGTCACAATTGCTGTGCTGCTGAACGATGTGACTCGTGGTACATACTGGACAGAGGATCTTGGGAGGATCACGTCCGACACGTCCGAGAGTAGCATGGCAGAAGTGCGAGTTGTGCAGACTAGACATGTTTTAGACTCTTTCCTTTATTTTCAGGAAGCAGGTACCATCAAGTCTACCTGTGAAAAGCATGGTACGTGGCACGAATGGTTTAAGATGGTTTAAGCATGTTTAAGTTCAAGCGGATGACGACTCTCAGGACCTTTTTGGTAGCCCCACGTGTATCATGTTTGCATATGTTTGCTATACCTGTAGATGTGTGGCGGGTGATTGATGGTGATTGTATTGGGTCGAGTCTAGCCACGGGTGATTTTGGCGGCTTGGTGTCGGTGTCAGTGACACTTGCGTGCCTTGTTACTTGTTTGGTTGACGAACAAGCACAAGGTCCCACACAGGAAGGGCATGAAGATCGATCCAGAAGCTGGCAACCAATTCCACCACCTCCATCTCCACTGCCACAGATACAACCGCAAGCGCCACCGCAAAGATTCCTCAGAAGAGTCAGATGGATCAGACATAATGATTCAGGTGTTTCCCTACACTATTTGCCTTCAAGTCGGCAATGAAACACAACTATAGACGCCTTTTCTTATCTTCTTTTCTCGAACCACAACATCCACCTGGACCACTGGCAAGAAAAACCGCTCGGCTGAGGCGATGCTGCCCGGCGAGGCGGGTGCGCTGGAGGAGAAGTTGACCTTGGTGAAGCGTGTGTTTCTCTTCCGACGCTCGTGGTGAAGGGGGACTGGGACTGGAAGGGACTGCGACATTTAGATCAACATAAAGGTTCTTTCATGTGAGATCTTTGACTTCCAAAAGGAGCCCAGGTACCCACATCACCTGGCACTGCTTGGAACTGTGGTTCCTAATTATGGACTTATATATTATTATATATAATGGGTTTGCTCGGGCTTGATGCTTGACACTTGGATTCTGAAGTTTTTGAGCTTTATTTGGGTCACATGCAAATTCAATCAAGTTCACACTTTTGAGAAGTGTACTTTATACCGTGGAGACATGTGGTATTCGGACATGCATGAATAATGACGGGACCAAGGCATTACAGTTGCTAAGGCATCTTGGTCCCGGTACATTGAAACATGATGAAACATGTACCAATTCTATGTACACTATATATACAACACTGACACTACAGGTCATATTCTTCTCATGTACACGTTTATGTGTTTGCATTCTCCCCCACCGTGTGTAACTCCTCACCCCTCATCCCTCCTCTCCAAGAACGGATGTCACCGCCGAAAAGCCCCCGCGTGGCGAAGCATTTGAGGCACCTTAGATGACCGGGAGCAACAGTTGCTGGCAGATGCCAGCCGACTGGTCTCCAGGACAAAACGACGAGGGATGTCGACACCGATGGAGACGCCACCGATGCGACCAACGGAGACCTGGAGTCGACCTTCGTCGTATGAGTATATAGCAGGTTGTTGAAGTAGGGCCATGTCCCCGCTTTCCCAGGTACAAACGAAGAAGCGTCCAGGCTGCCCGTCAAAAGGGAGAATACAGCATACACTACAGTATACACATCTATAATATATACATGATTATACATGTGTATATATATATATATACGACCTGTTTTTTGATGTGTTTTGACTGGGGTCATGTCCCACCGTTTGAGGTCGAAGGTACTATAGAAGGGTTGATTTGTAGACTACTAGACTTAGGGACTTAGGGTGTAGCTCATTTACCAATAACAGTTGGTGCAAAAAGTATCACTATCTTTCAGAAAGGACCTTACTTACCATCATCATAATCCTAAAAAAGGGACCCTGCAGACACATACATACAGTTTGTACACGTACATTTGCAGCCCTTTTGAGGTCTTAGAAAAGGGGCGCCACGCTTTGCATGGTAGCGGAGCCCTGGTTGGGCTCCCGCTCCTGACCCCCTGTAAAACCGGCGTAAGGCCCTCGTGGCGGCGGTGAGGTGGGCACCCTGTAAATCCACGTGAAATCTCGTGGTGTGGGCACGGCGTAAATCCCTGTGCCGGGTGGCAAGCAGCGCACATGGCAGCGCCTGTGACGCCTCCCCTTGCCTTCGACATGGCGGCTGCTGCGGCTGATGGCTTTGAGTCGCCTACATCCCAACCACATCCGCTACTACCTCAGCCAGTTCCTGGTCCGCGGCTCATCGACACGAAAGCCATCGGGAAGCTTCGAGCATTCAGTGGAAAGGATGAAGATTGGCCGGCTTGGGTGTTTGTTGCACGGGGCTACGTGCACCTGCTCGACCGTGCTTACCGAGGCATGCTGGAAGCTGCTGAGAATGCCGCCTCGCAGAACGAGCTGTCCATGATCGATATGAGTGACACAGCTCAGGAATTGTCGACTGTGCTCTTCAACCTGCTCACCCAGAGCGTCGACGGCAGAGCTCTCCAGATCCTGATGAACGTGGAGGGCCAGAATGGGTTCCAAGCCTGGAAGGCATTGTGTGATGCCTATGAACCACCAGTGGGTGGACGCCACATGGCGATGCTCACGGCCATCATTGCGCCCGACTGGAAGAACATCAAGGAGTCCGAGATCCTTGAGACGATTGAGTCATGGGAAGTGCTGGTGAGGCGCTATGAGATGCAGTCCAAGGAGACGGTCTCTGAGTCCATGCGGGTTGCCGTGTTGATGAAGCATGTTCCGAGCCCGGTGAAAGATGCCATGAGAGCTGCTGGAACGCAAATCGGCACTAACTATGAGAGAGCAAAGAAGTTCATCCGGGACTACCTGCAGACTGGCAACATCTACAAGTCTGGTGGCGCACTGGCCAAGGATGATGGTGGCTTGGCACCTATGGATGTGGGAGCAGTGTCCCATGGAGACAAGGGCAAGAAGGGCAAGTCAAGCAAAGGGGACAAAGGAGTCAACAAAGGTGGAAAATACGACAAGCAGGGAAAGGGCAAAGCACCCATCACGAAGAAGTTCAATGGCGAGTGCTCTTATTGTGGCAAGTGGGGCCACAAGAAGGCAGACTGTCGCACTTTGGTCCGAGATCGAGCCCGACGTGACGGCGACAAGGGCAAAGGCAAGAACAGCACGAATGCAGTGCAGGCAGCACCGAGTGGTACAGCTGCACCACCGTCACCTCAGGGAGCTCCAGGCAGCAGCACCAATGCTGTCTACTACTGGATTGACCCCGACAATGACGAGAGGAAGGCATGGGCCGACACCTATGACATCGAGGACGAGTACAGTGATGAGATGTGGGTGATGATGATCCACAAGGCCAACAAGCAGGTGAGCGAATGGCACCACATGAACATCTCCCAGCCTAGCGGCACCTCCGTGAAGTACCTTCTTTGGGACTCTGGCAGTGATGAACACCTCTGCCAACCTGTGTTCGGAGGCGACCAGCACACCGAAGAGTGCCGAGCTGAGCTGCTAGGGATTTCTGGGAAGAGCTTGGGAAAACTCGGAAAGAAGCGAGTGAGCTACAAGATTGTGGGCGAGAATGGCAACTTCCTGAATGCCATCACGGAGTTCAAGGTGAGTCAGCAAGCCAGCAAGGACGTGCTCTCAGCTGGCAAGATGAGCAAGAATGGATTTGTGGCTGACATGAGGAACAAGTTCAAGCCATACCTCAGCCATCCTGACATCTCATTCAGGATTCCTCTCTACATCCACAGGAACTCCTACTACATCAAGATTGTGGATGATGAGGCCGTGCCGTATGACATGAAGGTTGATGCCACTGTGGCACCGGTGGTGAGTCAAGGTGACCAGTATGACTGGGAGTTCGCCGGTGTGGACGAAGATGAAGAAGGGATTGAGATGATCCCACTGCCTGAGGAATTTGCTTGTGATGAAGCCCATGCTCGTGCAGACCGACAGAAGCTGCATGGGTGGAGCAAGGTGGCAGATCTTCGAGCCCGACTCAAAGAGCTGGATGAGCCTATCTATGGCGACAAGCACACCCTGTGGACAAGGCTGAAGAAAGCAGAAGCTGCATTGAATGCACGGAGAGCCTCAGCAAGAGACTATGTGGAGAAGCATAGCGAGAGGCAGCAAGCCTTGCGAGAAGGGCGTGGAGCTGAAGTTCAAGAGCTTCCAAAGCCGGTGATCCCCAGTGATGAGGAGATGAGGCAGCATGCTTTGACACATCTGCCACCACAACCCTGGTGTGAATTCTGCACCCGAGGCCATGGCGTGGAGATTGCTCACAAGCGAAGGACCTTGGAGCAGAAGCTGTCTGACAACCACTTCGAGCTTGACTACAGCTTCTTGAAGACCGACACCAGCCTGGCCGACAAGTTCGAGGAGTGCAGTGACACAGTGCTGTCAGTGGTCGACACTGGCACTGGCATGGGACTGGCCTTCAGCATCCCAGCCAAGAACTTGGGCATCCCCTACGTGGTGAAGGTCATCACATCCTTCATCGCCCAGCTGGGGTATGACACAGTGAAGCTGAGATCAGACAACGAACCAGCGATCAAGAAAGTGAAGGGGCAGATCGCTGAGGCCTTGAGGAAGGGTGAAGCACCCGGAGCTGCTGGATTGAAGATCATCTTCGAGGAGGTTCCAAGGTATAGTTCACAGAGCCTTGGAACGATGGGGGCATTCCAGAAATTGCTTCGTGGAGATGTCCTGACTTTGAGGTATGCAGTCGAAGCGGAGTATGGCATCACATTGCATACATCCCACAACCTATGGCCCTGGTTGGTGCGCTACTGCTCTTTCATCAGATGCCGCTATGCAGTCAAGTCGAACCAGCGCACAGCATACCAGGATGCATTTGACTGCCAGTACACGTCACCTCTCATCCCGTTTGCAGAGACAGTCCTCTTCAAGACCCCCATGAGTAAGGCCAGAAGGGCGCATGGGAGAAATGTGATCACCAAAGGTGAGACGGCATGGGCAAAGGGAATCTACCTCGGCAGGAGTGTGACCAGCAACGAGTACCTCCTTGGCACGCCAGATGGCACCGTGTCAGCAAGATCTGTGAGGAGATTCGCAGACAGCGCCAAGACCCATGACCGAGACCTATTGGAGGCCATGATTGGGGTACCTTGGGACCAAGGAACCACCATTGGACGTCCCAAGAGGAAGATCGAGGCAATCATGCCGATGACCCCAAGTGCAGTTCCAACGGAAGCTGAGACTGATGAGAAGAAGGCCAAGATCAAGACCTTTGAGGAAGAGCCGACAGAGCCAACACTCAATCAAGGCGGGCCATCGTCCGGCAGTGGACGGAATGACGAACCCATCCTCATCAGCGAGAAGCCTGCCAATGTGGAGCCCTCTCAGGAGGCGATGGAGACTGAACAAGTCATCGACAAGTCCCCCATGGAGATCAAGGTTTCTGCGAGACGTGCCTGGCCTGGTGGAGATGATGAAAACCCAGAAAACAGGGCACGCGTGGGCGGAGTATATGTTGGAGCACTGTACTCGCCGACCGAGGATGTGATCGTCTATGAGGAGGATGTGGAAATGGCAGCAGTGGACTCCGATGATGAGGAGAGCAAGCCTTTGACGGCAGAGGAACGAGCACAAGGCCGAGAGGTCGAGTATGGGAAGATGGACAAGTACGACGCCTATGAGCCTGTGTCCTACCAACCTGGAATGAAGGTGCTGGATGCCACATGGGTGGAGGTGCGAAAGCCGGACGGAGCAGTGAGATGCCGATACTGTGTCCGCGAGTTCAAACGAGGTGATCCAAGGACTGATGTGTTTGCTGTAGCCTCCAGCACATCGACTTCAAGAGTGGTGGACGTCATTGGCATCAAGATGGGCTACGCCTTCATGACCGCAGACGCCGAGAATGCTTTCTGGCAGGTTCCCATCAAAGAAGATGCATACATGCTCCCTCCGAAGGACTGGATCGAGAAGCAGATCGAGGCCGGTGTGACCCTGCCTGAGAAGGTGGTTTGGAAGTTGAAGAAAGAATGGTATGGGAGGAGGATTGCTGGACAATGTTTCGTCGAATGGGCAGCAGGGCACCTCAAGGACTTGGGGTTCAGCCGTAACCCAGCTGCACCCTGGCTGTTCCACAATTCCAGCAAGGGCATCCTCATGGAAGTTCACATGGACGACTTCTTTGCCACTGGACCGCAGAGATCCCTGGAAGAGCTGGAGAAAGAGCTCCACAAGAGGATTCGCATGAAGAGCCAGATCCACCCGTTGATCGAGGGAGAGAAGTTCACGCACCTGAAACGCACAAGGGAGATCTATAGCAATGGAATCTTCATCAGCCCAAGGTCCAAGTACATCACCGACCTGCTGAAGATGTTGAAGCTTGAGAACTGCAACCCAGCACCGACTCCCTATGTTCACAGTGAGGTGAAGGAGGGTCAGAAGCTGAACGAAAGCTGCACGAAGTTGTTCAGGGCTGGAGTTGG